TTAATTAAAGATACATGAATATGATAAAATTTCATAATATTTTGAGAGTAAAATTCCTATAATTCATTATAAACTGTGTGGTTCATATAATTTGAAAAATTCAAAGTTTATAATTTTGTCAGTAAAGAAACCAGATGTTATTTTCTCTTTAAATAAGGGTTCAAGATTACCTAGTCATTGGCTTAGCTTTAGTTCTAAGTGTTTTTATAGTATATTAATATTTAATACTACTACTACTTTCTTTATAACATGCTTTCTATTTGTTAGTAATATAAGTGAATTTAAACTATTTTTTAAAGCATATTAAACACATAATTATACATCAAATAATGATTAAAAAAGTATAAACAAACTAAGATTAATAACATCATCGTATTTTCTTGTTTTCTTTCATCATCGACTTTTGTAACATTTTAAAATCAAACATTTGTATGATCGATGGTTTTTTAAATCATTTTAGGAGATTTCTTATCACTTGACCCGATTACATTCAAACAAAATTGCATTGAATCGTATTGGTATTCATGACAGTTTAATCAAAGAAAAGTTTGGGAACCCAAATTTAAGGTTAGTATTTAAATACTCTCTGTAATCTACTATAGCTTCAATATTAAAAAAACAGAAACAAAATATTTATCTTAGAATTTTGATCGACAATACTTTTGATTTCGACGATGATATTACATTGAACAGTGCAGAACACACCTCATTTACTTTGTACTCTCTAGATCGGTTTCGGGGAATGGACTTTAATACCATAAAAGTCGGAAAGTAAGTATCCAATATTTTTATGTCACTACAGTTATTCTTGATATCTACAAATAATTTAATCTTAATATGTATATGATGATATCAAAAATAGATATAATGTATTTTACAACGGAAAAATGTTGCCCACATCGACTATGGATATAATACCAGCGACGTTTTATACACTTACTTTACAACGAAATGACAATAAAACGGTAACATTATAGGTTATTAGATCTGTGGATTATAATAAGTACCTTATAAACTATAAGTAAATTTAGGAAGTAAAACCTGTAACTATAACAAAAAAAATATTTATAGGATGTACGAATATTTACCAAAGACGAAGGAAACTACATTCACATTTTGTGGCAGCTTCCTCAATATTTGTGCATGAGTATAGCCGACGTCATATTCGCGATCACCGTTATAAAATTCGCATTTACTGAGGTATTTTTATTTTTAATTAGTGATATTAGTTAAAATGGATCATTTATTCATTTTTTTATTTATAATCAAGTAATCCTATTTTTGTAAGTAATATATTAAATTTTGTAAGATTCATATATTTAAATAATAAATTTATTTATAAAAATTTAAATGAATAGATTTTTGATAGATTTAACTGCCATGCCTTAACATATCACTTTTTTTCAAAAAATATTAAAATATACGTGCACAATTTTAATATCACATCATGTCACACTCGAATGCTTTTAAAAATATTAAATTATAGGTTTCAATTGTTCAATATTTAAATAAATACATAACTCATAATTTGTTTATAACTGATCTATGGTCTTAATGTTATATGAAATTTTTCAATATAGGCCCCAAAAAGCATGAAGTCGTTAGTAGCCGCTATTAATTTTTTGACACTGGCACTTGGAAATTTGTTGGTCGTTATAATTTCAACAATTTCATTTAAAAATCAGGTATACATTAAATATTAATTATTTTGTTTTAATAATTAATTCTTGACAGTTCATTTAATATTATATATGTATAATTTGTTCATGATTTAGGCAAATGAATTTCTACTTTACTCTGGTCTTATGCTTGCCGACACGTTATTGTTAGGTTATTTCAGTGTGGTTTATCGGAGTAAAAATACATATATAACTAATCCAATAACACCGAACGAGAACAAAACGGAAGAAACTACTGTTGTCAACTGAATACGGTTTTGTTCGACTAAAATGGCGACAAGACCAGACTTGAAGAACTATTCTTTGTAGTTCTAATTATGTTATAATAATAATACATATTATTCCTCAGCTGCCGCGGACTTAATTTAATAAAAAAAAAAAAAAATGATACGTAATGTATATTGAAATATTATATTCATGATATTATACAAACTTAGATGTTTTTATTTAAAATTTTATTTTTAAATTTTTATTTTTATTTTCCAATACAAAGAACATAGCAAAAAAAAGTATGATGCATTTAATTGTTTATGATATTTATTTTGATTATTTTATTCAATTCAATAATCATTTGTATTACGATAGTTAGTATTTTCATACTTGCTTGTTGGAATGTTTTATTTTTTCTCAGTATATTATTTATGGTATTTAAGGTATTTATTTTTTATTTATTGTTTTTGATTTGCTGCAACTGCTTTCTTTGATTAATTCTGTATTATTACAAAATGTATATTAGAGCCATCGAGTACATTTTTGGGAATCCATTTAAAATTATTGGTTAAAATATGCTGATTGAGTTATGATATTATTTAAAATAATTTATTAATTAAGTATACATATAATGACAGTATAACTTTTTAAAGTATTTTGATACATCTAGTCGTATACTTATTACTTAAATTGTGTTTTCGAATGTTATTTAATTAGAAAACATAGCTGATTAAAAGTTATAACATGACTTAATACACACCTGCAGGCGTCAAAGGGTTTAAATTATTCATATAAATTATAAATAATTATGAAAAAAATAATTTGACGACGAAACTTTAAAACTTATTCAAAAAAATATTTCCTTTGATACCTACTGATTGCTTGCTATATATGCAAATTATACATTATAAATGATTAATGATATTTTGTGTGTTGTGAAGAATAGCCTTTTATAATACAATCAAATATTATATAAATTTTAACAATGTAAAACCGCATCAATTATACGAGTTTTATAATATAAAACATTTATACATTTTAGATTCTAAGCGGATTTTACAATGATATGTGTTTTTTTTTCGTGTGTGTACATGATTAGTAATCGAAGTAATGCTTCGATTTTCAAAATGAATCTAGGTGGTGCATTCGGGAGGTCAAAATTTAAAATTCTCATTAGTTTTTAAAAGCACAGGGAAAACAAAACAAAAAAAAAAATAAGGAAAACCGAGAAATTGTACACAATTTTTTTTTTTTTGACAAAATTAATTCTGGTTTTTGGTGTAACTCTTGTAACGGTACGTTTCAGGACCGCCGATCAAAATCACAGGATGGTAACACTAACCGCTATGAAAACTTTACGCTCGTATGACAAAGCGCCCAAGTTGTCCCACACCTCTAAGGCTCTAACAACCGGTGCTATACATAGCGAAGACCGCAGCGAGTCCAAAGAGGGTGCCATACTCAGAACCCCAAAACTCAGCAAGCAACATCGTGTACCGTGCCGAAAGTAAACATAATGACACACGTCGATAACACACGGTTTACTAAGCGGTACGGGACATATATAAAATAATTCTTCATCATCAGTCTTCAAGTAATATTCAAACCATCAGTATCTCTTCGAGAAACCAAAGATTTGGAAATCCGAAGAACCAAAGACACCAACCCGATCTTGAGCATACAAACATCCTGAACGCCACCATTGCCCGAACGAGAAGCATCGAAACAGCAGAACTGCAGAAAGTCAACTGACCAATCCGGAGCCGCGATTCGTGCCCAGAATGAACCGTCCAGCTGAAGTAACCACCGACGTCATACAACCATCGCAGACCAAGTGGAGTCGCACACCAACGGGTGTCCAAGACCCAGTCATACGACGGCCGACGAATGATCACCCGACGAAGTGTCACGTTTTTAGTGGTAACCACAACCAAGTCAGTCGCAACCGCTCGACACACACAGAGATCTTTGCCGAGTGACGAGCAACCGAGTAAAGGCCGGGCGCACATTGAGACGCAGGACTGCAGGAGCGCAGCGCACCGTAGTTTTCTGAAATCTATTAGTTAGAACTTGCTAGCGCATATTGGGAGACAGGGCGGGGCAGAGCAGAGCAGTGCTGTGCCTATGTTGGCCTGCGTCACGTAGTGTTCGCAACACAGATTACTGCACAAGCACCACGAGCTTTGGAAATCATGATATTACATAATTTTAAACTTAACTTATTAAACTTGTTAATGCAGTCAAGATCTTTTTAAAAATTACAACCTAAGAGACTTTAATCGAAGGCGTCATGTCAGAGACGTGTCAACGACGAAGAACGTACAACCAAGCCACCTGAGACCCCATGGGACCAGGAAGGAGGAACGTCACGTACTGGCGCACTACGTTCGGCCGATCATACGATTGAACGTCGCCGCCACATCGCCGTCCCCCTCGTATCCTCCCCCGGCCACTTGCTTGAGTTGTGCCGTTCCCGAGTCTGTTTCCACCGAGTTTAGTAGCTGCTTGTTTAGATCAAGTGCCACCGATGGACAGCATTAAAATTTCGAAATCTAACGATTTGTATAATTGTATGATTTTTAAATCCCTTTAGAAGATTTCTTATCACATGACCAGACTAAATTAAAACACAATTGCATTAAATCGTGTTGATATTCATGACAGTTTAATCAAAGAAAAGTTTCGGAACCCAAATTTAAGATTGTATTTAAATACTGCCTGTAGTCTACAATAGTTTCAATATAAAAAAAACAGAAACAAAATATTTATTTAAGAATTTTGGTTGGCAATACTTTTAATTTTGACGAATATATTACATTGACCAGTGCAAGACACACCTCATTCACTTCGCACTGTATCTCTATAAATTATTGATAATATTTTATACATTTTTGGGAGAAGTCGTTCATAAACAATAATAAAATAATAAGCATTTAACAATCAAACTCAACTAACATAATAATAATTATTTTTAAAACAGAGCATTTTCCATGATTGAATACTTTATTTATTGGTTTTTTTAGTTCATGTTATTTTAACCATAATTCGTAAACTGGGTGATAAAAAAAGATTATTTCGAGTACTGGATTAATTATAATAGTGTGGTAGTAAAAAAATGATATAGCATTCAACATACATCTCATATAACATATTAAGGTTCAATTATGGTTATACTCTCAATGTACTCGACTCGATAAAACTGTATGTGAGATGTACATTTTTACTTGGTACGGTTTTTAAACTCTTCAATTTTTCACTTTAAAAATCGTAACACAAGTTTCATTCAGCTTTAATTAAACTTTAAAATTTCGTCAAAGTGAATACGTGATTGTAAAAACTACTAAGTTCAGGAACGTTAATTATACACACCCATCGAGTGTTCAAAATTCAAAAATTTCTGTTTGGCATTATAATATATTTATTGTCTTGTGATCAGCAAATTCATTTCTTTTGCAGTACAACATGGATTTGATGTCTGATCAAAAGGGAAAATTGGTAAATATATATATACTTACAAAGTATTTAAAAAACACGAGTATTTTTCAATTTTATGGGCCACACTATGAACACTTGTTATTTTTTGTTTAAATCCGTTTACAACCTGTCATTTTATCACGTTCGTTTTTTTTTTTTACATAAATATTATGTTTTTGGGCTGGATACAAGTTCTTTGTTTTTCTGACCAATTTTGAGTAAAATGTTGTTGTCATAAATACAAACATTTTATGTTGATTATTCTACGTATTCAAAAAAAAAATTCATTTGTTTTTAGAAATACCCCAAGTCTACATGGTTTATCGTGATCAATGAATTTTGTGAACGATTTACATTTTTTGGATTGAAAAGTGAGTCAGTAAAGTTGACTAACAAAATTTAAGGATGTAGTTTTATAATTGTAATAATTGATTAATAATCTGTTCAGCCGTTTTGATTTTGTACCTGACAAGAATATTGAAGTTTAACGGAGACCAGTCGACGATAATATATCACAGTTTCATATTTCTATCGTACTTCGTGCCAATGCCGTCCGCGATATTGGGAGACTCTTATTGGGGAAAATTTAAGTACGCTGTGTACATTTGGTTTCATGTTCTTCATAAATAATATGACTATCTGATGTTTTAAAGTTATGGTTTTCATGATATAATTTTTTAGAACAATTGTATATTTGTCAGCAATCTACGTACTGGGATGCATCGTGCTCACCGGCGCATCTATCGCAAATATGTTCAGCCTGGACGTTCAAAAGTTAGTCAACAACTATTTTTTAGTTTATCATATATGTAAATGCTTTGATAAGTTTCAAAAACACAAACATTTTTTATATAGAGTTCGTTTGTATTGGTGGGTTCCAGCATATATTTGTTTCTTAAAAAGTTTCCAACAAAATGTACACCACATATCCTTCGGTGATTTTAATTAAATTTATACAACTTGACTGGACACCGAATATTCTACGTACCTAGGTACATCAACTTAACTTCGCGTTGACCTAGTCAACAATACTCAGCCCATATCTAATAAAGTAAAGTATTCGTACTTATTTGCAAATACCCGACCACCCTTACGTTACGAACCGAGTAAAACCACACCACTAAAACTAGCCTTCAACACTCTTTAATAATACAATTCTACATTTATTCACCAACTGTTCTTATTCATTTCAGCAACCGCCAGTTGATTAATATCCGTTCAAGTTTAAAATATGCTTATGCCTACTTGAAAATTTAATAATATCGCATAAAGTACCAGTTGTTTAATAAGACGAGTCAAACCTGATTTTTTTTTAATATAAACCTAATTCCAATCCTAAATTTAAATCAAGTGTACTGCTTTACCTTTGCCATTGATTTATTTTAAAATATTGTCAAAAAAAGTTTTATTTTTCACAGAAATGTGTATGGAAATATAATTTTAGAACCAAAACGCAAATGTAGAACTAGTTAAAGGTCTAATAAAGGTTAAGGAATGATTTCTATGTTTATTTTAGTGTGATAATGAAATTTGAAATTATTTAATGTGCTACAATAATTAAGATTCACTATAATGTCACTTGCTACTGAACAGAGAGTAGTAATATAATTTACTTTTAATTTTAAGTCATATTACGTTACATCAAAAAATAACTAAAAACTTTGAGTAAGACTGACGTTTGTCCAATTCCTATAAGATAAATTATTTACCATCTCATATTTGCATACAAACATGTATGTTTATTTTTTGTTTTTAGAATCTTTGCTTTCCTCGGGTTATTTTTAATATCCATTGGTACAGGTGGTGTAAAACCGTGCAATTTTGCGCTTGGTGGAGATCAATTTCAATTGCCTCAACAAGAAAAATATTTACAATACTTCACCACCAAGTTCGCGTTGGCCGTATACATTGGATCGTTATTTTCAACGTTTTTGATGCCCGAATTGCGACACAGCATACATTGTTTTGGCAGAGACTCGTGTTTTCCGTTGGCTTTCGGTGTACCCACCATTATGATGTTTATAGCCATAGGTATTTATTGTGGATATTTATAAAAGTTATCATCCAGAGGGGTAATAATAAAACCCAAAATGTATCCTTAATTTAGGTATTTGTTCTTACTGTATGGTTCAAGAATAGATAAAAAATATCTACTTTAATCAGTGCTTGATTTTGGGGGGGGGGCATGGGGGGACAAAGTCCCCTATCTTTTTTAATTTTTCTTTAGCGTACAACTTCTATTTATTTGAAATGAAACGCTGTTTACTTAACATTTACTATAGTGAATTTGTAAATCCTCAGTTTTTCTGGTGCAAAATATACCTATATATCAGCCATAATATTTGTACATTTGAATCGACTATCAAAAAAAAATTGATTTTTAAATTGCTAGGTAAGAAATTGTATTATGCCCACATAAATATGAGCATAAATCTGTAATTATGCCACAGATACATTTTATGAATTAAATCTATATAAATCGCAATATAAATTATAATGCCACTGGATGATGTAATGACTCGTCTAATCTAAAATTATCATATAATTTATTATTAATACTATGTATATTTTGTAGAATAACTAGTTAATAATTTAATATTTAATGTCTAAAAAATATTAATTAATAAATAAATGTTTTTTCTTTTAAAATATTTTCGTATAATAAATGTAATGATTATTTGGGATTATGTGTGGCTGAAGGGGGGTGTGGGGGGCTTTTCCCCTCACGGTAATGTGACAGTTAATTTTGTGTGGAACGCTCGTTCATCAAACATCCGTTGAATCCCCCTTTATGTTTTTTTCCAAATCAAGCACTGACTTTAATATAACTTCCTCCTCCCCTACCACTTTAAAAATCACAATGCAATCACAAATTTTTCTCGATCACACTATTTCCACATAAAATACATCCATGGATTAATCTGAGTTACTGTAATATTCCGTTTCACATGCTGCAGTGATACTCATAGCTGGGAAAAACATGTACGTGAAAAAAAAACCGGAAAATAAAGTCTTAATCAGGACGTTTGGATGTATTTTTGTAAGTGTCGTTTAATCGTGTGGTGCTTTTAAAGACCAAAACCCGTTTTGGAAGTATCGACATCAATCACTTGTATCATATTTTGGATTTTAAGTGCGCACTTCAAGCGAAGATAACATCAACCGTTCCATGCAAAACTCACTGGTTGGATAACGCAAAAGGAAAGTACACAGAATCAGAGATATCTGACACGAGGTCTGTTCTAGACGTGATCTGCGTATTTACGGCATATCCAGTATTTTGGTCACTGTATGAACAACCGGTACATTAACTAATATATCGATAACTATTAAGAATTTACACGTCATAGGTGGTCAACTGTTAGGATTTCTGGATGGTAAGCTGTCCAGAAAAGCAATCCCTCTCCATCCACTTTGTATCCATGTACAATCCACTAACCTTGAAACCAATAAAAAAAAACCGATCTTTCAAATATTTTAATCTAATATTATAAATCAAATAACTAAATAATTAATTAACTATTAATATCTAACCAATCTAATCTTCGCCTATTCAAGGAACTATAAGACGGATCAATTTAACTCTATGACATAACATCCGTTTTACTATAGAGTTCAAGGTGGACGTTGCAAGCCATGCTGATGAACGGTCGCGTGGACTTCTTAGACTGGACAATCAAACCCGATCAAATTCAGATGCTAATACCATTATTTGGAGTAATTATTCTAATGATATTTGACGACGTTTTGTGTCCGATGTTTGCAGCTATAGGAATCCGGAAACCATTGCAAAAGCTAACCTTTTGCGGTGTCCTTGCGGTCATAGCATTTGTGTTCGCAGCTTTACTACAGTTTAAAATAGTTGTAAGACTATTTTTTGAATGCCTACAATTTTTTTTTTTTGCTCACTCCTGATAGTTTTTTTTTTAAGGGAAACACAACTGAAATTCCAGCTGGACAAGGTCGGTTAAACATCTATAATGGATTCGATTGCCATGTGTTCCTAAAATCGAATTCATTACAATTACAACACCAAATCGGCCCCCTAGAAATGTTCAACGTCAGTCATGTGGTTGTTTCTCAGAATGTCTCAGGAGAGGTCATCAGGATCACATTAGGTTTCGAATCAAAGTGCAATGTTGTGTCAGACAACTACGAGTTGAATACTACATTAACAATAATCGAAGGAAAAGTAAAGATTTTGATTTTATCTTTATACATATGTAGCTCTGTCCTGACTAGCAGAGAATCTACGCAGAGCTTAAACTTTAATGTAGATATTGACTTAGAATTCTCTCATTTTCGTTTTTTTCTTTATTTATAAATGTTGGCCATTTATTACTCGAGAAAGTAGGGTAAATGCTTTCAACAAATCATAGCATTTAAATAAATACCCAAATAAAAAAATTATAGCTTATAAAGTTATTACAAATACCCATGAAAGTTAAAGAAAATTCCGGGTAGGACAATTAGTAAAATATAAATTATTAATTAAAGATACATGAATATGATAAAATTTCATAATATTTTGAGAGTAAAATTCCTATAATTCATTATAAACTGTGTGGTTCATATAATTTGAAAAATTCAAAGTTTATAATTTTGTCAGTAAAGAAACCAGATGTTATTTTCTCTTTAAATAAGGGTTCAAGATTACCTAGTCATTGGCTTAGCTTTAGTTCTAAGTGTTTTTATAGTATATTAATATTTAATACTACTACTACTTTCTTTATAACATGCTTTCTATTTGTAAGTAATATAAGTAAATTTAAACTATTTTTTAAAGCATATTAAAAACATAATTATACATCAAATAATGATTAAAAAAGTATAAACAAACTAAGATTAATAACATCATCGTATTTTCTTGTTTTCTTTCATCATCGACTTTTGTAAAATTTTAAAATCAAACATTTGTATGATCGATGGTTTTTTAAATCATTTTAGGAGATTTCTTATCACTTGACCCGATTACATTCAAACAAAATTGCATTGAATCGTATTGGTATTCATGACAGTTTAATCAAAGAAAAGTTTGGGAACCCAAATTTAAGGTTAGTATTTAAATACTAACTGTAATCTACTATAGCTTCAATATTAAAAAAACAGAAACAAAATATTTATCTTAGAATTTTGATCGACAATACTTTTGATTTCGACGATGATATTACATTGAAAAGTGCAGAACACACCTCATTTACTTTGTACTCTATAGATCGGTTTCGGGGAATGGACTTTAATACCATAAAAGTCGGAAAGTAAGTATCCAATATTTTTATGTCACTACAGTTATTCTTGATATCTACAAATAATTTAATCTTAATATGTATATGATGATATCAAAAATAGATATAATGTATTTTACAACGGAAAAATGTTGCCCACATCGACTATGGATATAATACCAGCGACGTTTTATACACTTACTTTACAACGAAATGACAATAAAACGGTAACATTATAGGTTATTAGATCTGTGGATTATAATAAGTACCTTATAAACTATAAGTAAATTTAGGAAGTAAAACCTGTAACTATAACAAAAAAAATATTTATAGGATGTACGAATATTTACCAAAGACGAAGGAAACTACATTCACATTTTGTGGCAGCTTCCTCAATATTTGTGCATGAGTATAGCCGACGTCATATTCGCGATCACCGTTATAAAATTCGCATTTACTGAGGTATTTTTATTTTTAATTAGTGATATTAGTTAAAATGGATCATTTATTCATTTTTTTATTTATAATCAAGTAATCCTATTTTTGTAAGTAATATATTAAATTTTGTAAGATTCATATATTTAAATAATAAATTTATTTATAAAAATTTAAATGAATAGATTTTTGATAGATTTAACTGCCATGCCTTAACATATCACTTTTTTTCAAAAAATATTAAAATATACGTGCACAATTTTAATATCACATCATGTCACACTCGAATGCTTTTAAAAATATTAAATTATAGGTTTCAATTGTTCAATATTTAAATAAATACATAACTCATAATTTGTTTATAACTGATCTATGGTCTTAATGTTATATGAAATTTTTCAATATAGGCCCCAAAAAGCATGAAGTCGTTAGTAGCCGCTATTAATTTTTTGACACTGGCACTTGGAAATTTGTTGGTCGTTATAATTTCAACAATTTCATTTAAAAATCAGGTATACATTAAATATTAATTATTTTGTTTTAATAATTAATTCTTGACAGTTCATTTAATATTATAAATAATTTGTTCATGATTTAGGCAAATGAATTTCTACTTTACTCTGGTCTTATGCTTGCCGACACGTTATTGTTAGGTTATTTCAGTGTGGTTTATCGGAGTAAAAATACAAATATAACTAATCCAATAACACCGAACGAGAACAAAACGGAAGAAACTACTGTTGTCAACTGAATGCGATTTTATTCGACTAAACTGGCGACAAAACCAGATTTGAAGAATTATTTTTTGTAGTTCTAATTATGTTACGATACTAATAATATAAAATGTCGGTATTTTGAAATTCTATACACCTGGTATTTTATATTTAAAATTTTATCTTTTAATATATTTATGGTTATTCAATACAAACAAGCAAAAAAAAAGTATGATACATTAAAGTGTTTATGATATTTATTTTATTAAGACATTTGATTATTTTATGTAATTGAATAATCATTTGTAATAAGATATACTACAATAGTACTGCCGTACTTGTTAGTTGTTGGAGTGTTTTATTTTTTCTCAGTACATTATTTATGGTGTTTATTGATTTTGATTAACTACAACTATTTTCTTTGATTAATTCTGTATTATTACAAAATGTATATTACAGCTGTTGAGTAAATTGTTAGGCATCCATTTAAAATTATCGGCTAAGGTATACCGATTGAGTTATGATAATATTTAAAATAATTTATAAGTCAAGTTAATCTTTGAACGGTCGAGGTTGTAAAGCAATAAGCCAAGTCTACATGAGTCAAGAACATTAAGATGTAGACAATAAACACTGGCATTTTCGACAAATTATGTCTGTAATGTAAATGCCAATTTAATACTTATACATACCAAATATCAGTGATGGTCAAATGGTTTGAGGCTGACGGGTATAGATCCTCCCATGACCTTTTCTTTAATCATTAGTAGTATGGTAGGTGGTTTTTTTGTTTAAGATTGTAACGGTTGTTATGGTAGGTGGAAAACACGTGTAGGAGTGACAAGGCTTTTAACTACTATGAACTCGGGTAGTCACCCATCCCGGAGCTAATAGCTGTGGCCCTTACTCCCAGTCCCATTCCACGACTGGTAGAAGCCAACGCGCCACGCAAAGCCACAATATTTTATATTTAAAATTCAATTTGTTAGTATATTTATGGGCTATTGTTCAATATAAACAAGCTAAAAAACTTTATAATAATATAGGCACATAAGATATTAAGATCCATAGATTTTTAGTAAATATATTAGTATACTTTGATTCAGTTAAATCCATCGAGAAAAAGATGATAACGATGATTTTACAGTAACGTGTTTTTTTTATCTGTGTTTGTTTGTGTGCAAGGTAAGTAATCGAAGTATTTCTTTAATTTTCAACTTTAGTGTCCTTTCTGGTAGGAAAGTAAGTCTAGTTTATGCATCCTGGAGGTTGAAATTCCCAGTTTAGTTTTCGAACGCACTGAAAAGCACAGAAAAATCCCTAAGGAAAAACCACAGTTAGCACACAAAATCGTATTATAACCCTAAAAAAAATTACAGTATAAAATTTTCACGGAATAAAAGATTTTTTAGGCATATTATGTTTGTCTACCTTTAAGTGACCTTAAAAAGAAAAATATATCTACTGGAAAGTCAAATTAAATTTTTATAGCATTTGAAGTTCAAATGTTTACGACATTGAACATTTACTCGATTTCTCATGAAACGATTTTCTTATTTTGGTGTACTTTAAAAATAAATATCCGTAAATCCATACTTGTAATTTACTCCAAATTTTTTATCATTTTTTCAAAATACTTTGACCTGTTTGAGCTGTTTACAAACATTTTAAATTTACTATTTTTTTCTATTAATTACAACAAAATTTTATTTGTTAGGTCAAAAATCTTGAAAGTTCAAATACTAGTCTTCTCTTACATTGTTACAATATCAATTCAAAAATATTATAAATACACAATCACAATTATTTTTATAAGCATTTAAAATTAAAAATGTATCAAATTAGAAAGTGGCAAATTATTTTGTAGTTTCAAATTCATAAAATGTTCAATTTTTATAACTAAGGCATTGAAAATATAAAACAATGTTCATAGTTTATGGTTTGGGGTTCATAATACAACCAAAAAATTTAAAGAAAATATGTGTAACTTAGTATTTTTACAATCATTTTAAGTTCAAATTTCGACTAAATCAATTATTTAAAGGAAGAGTAATAATTTTAGTTATTTTGGAAACCAACGAAATCAATAATTCAGCTATTGTATAGCTTGAAAGTTAATGTATTGTAATATTAAGTGTATAATTATGTATTTTTATCATAACATTAGAATTATTTGAAAAAATTTTCAATTTCCATTTTATATTTTGACTAAAATTATTTTAAATAGCTACGTATTTCGTATTTTTATAGTTTTTATTTAAAATACTTTTTCTTGAGTATTTTGTATTTTGTATTTCAAAAGATATGTGTTTTATACTTTTGTGCATCCGCACAAGGTATATATAAGTACAGTTGAGTAAGATTTTACATAATACTCATTTCTGATTCATTATATGTTTTTTTTCTTTATCCTAAATTGATTTAAAACAATTATTACATTAGATCATTTTTATTTTATGGGGTTAAAACTATTTTAAGTCTACGGATAATATCGTTTTCTATTTTGATAGTTTTAGTCTTATTATATTATTTTTACCAGTTAAAATACTAGTATCCGTGGATCTAGAAAAAAAAATTGTTTTGATGGTGTCATAATAATAAACGTTCAACAATAATCACTTATGGTTTTGGTTTATTTTGTATATTGATAACTTTATTTGAACTAATAGATTGTTACATTTTTTTGGAAACCAGCTATAAACATCTAAACAATAAACATACAGTTATACACATATTATAGGTACAACAAAAATGTAGATATTATACAGACACCACGTACTTCACACTTATAAACAGTTTATCAACAAATAATTTTGAGTTTTTGACATTTAATTAGTAATTACCATCTAATTCGTTATAAATATGTCATCTATATTAAAATACAAAATAATAATAAAAATACCTTTAACATATTATATTTATATTATATAAGTATCTACTATAGGTACGTTATTTCTAATTTTCTTGTTACTCCGTCGATGTAGAATTTCACGAAGAACATAATTTATTGTAATTATAGTCTACTAATACATTACTGCGGTCTGCGACACGTTTAGTATGCGTTCTTCAATCATTTATCCATACTGTCAACGCTGTAAATGTAATAATTGAATTATGGTTCAAAAATATTATATTTGTAACATGCAGTTGGACTGATCAGTTCGCTGCATATATGTATATATATTATATACACAATATTATATATTTAATCTATGACATTAGTGTAAGTCCGTTTAATGTGAAACTGCCTATAATTACTCAGTTTCGGTCCCTCAGACATTTTGTGATTTAAAGAATTCTTATTTCTGTTTACATTTTTAAGTTTTTTTTCCAAATTTAATTTTTTTTTTTTCATCGTAGTGAAATTTAGAAATGTAGTTGTTTTTAATATAACTTGAGCTTTTTTAAAATTAAAATTTAAAGCAAAATCTGTTTTTTTCAATCACAATGTAAAAATTCTAATCTCAATTATTGAACGAATATCATTTGTAAACATTTCTCGACATCGATAATCACAAAAATTAAGATTCTAATCTATAAAGAGTGCGGCACTATATTCTGTAGGAGCCACTCCTTTATTTTTTTTATACTCACTCCATTTGTCACCGTAAACTATTGGACAAGAGCCGTACTGTGCAAATTGTAATAATTCTTCTACCGGTGAGAAAGTGTCCATCGTATTGTGTATGACTAGTGCTGAGCCTTTAGTGCTTGGCACACGTACTTCTATATCGGGCAACACCGTGGCACCTCCTTCTGGCACGTCGTCCATCTAAATTTGAAAATAATAATATTAAAAGCGAGAGCTGATTTTTTAATACATTTCCGTATGCATCAATAAGTAGGTAATTGTGTCAATTATTAAAGCTAACTTGGTTATTGGTTCGTTTTAAATTTGAGGTAATAATGTTAAAACACAACTACACAAGGCAATAGTGATAAATATGTCTAGTAATACTTAAGGTTAAGTTGAAAAAATATGAATTACCTATTGCAATATAAAAGAGTCTCTTGTCACCAAAAAGTAATTTTCTAAGTAAGTTTATCAATTCATGTATTTTTAAACACATTTTTTTGTACATTCCAAAGCAGAATATTTTTTTATACCATTTAGGCCCGAATATTGGTTCCCTTAAAACTTATAAAAATGCCCTAAAAATGTTTATATGTTACTGACTTAAATAATTATAGAACACTCATTAAACTATTAAAGTTAATCAAATTATTCATTGATTTTAAAATTAAAAATTACAGTTTATAAATAATTGATTTTGATTTAAATTCAAATTTCAAAACTGGTTTCAATCTAGAAAACAATTACCTGAACATTTTGTTTGAAGTATTTTTCGTAATAGGTATAAGAAAAATTTAATTATTTGATTTATGAATAATAATAAATGAAAATGTATTAAAAAATAATTAAATCATAATCTATATCTCAGCTATGAAATAAAAGTAAAAAATGCCCTAAAACGTAAAAATATGTCCTAAAAAGTCAAAAGTCACAAAAATATCTTTAAAAACGCAATAAATTTCAATAAAAATACAAAAATAATAGTTACTTAGGTATTTAGATTCGTACAAATTTTAAGCTAGGAAAGCATAGTTAATGATGTTCCAAAAAAAGATACAAGTCTTCAACACTCGGATCCTAAAGGTCATAACTATGTTTTGATTATATACCTAATTTAATAAAAAGCACAATGATACATTACATGTATAATGACTATGGCGTCTCTTCCTTTGCTGTTGATCAAATGGTCATCGTCTATGTATTCAGAGTGCGGTAAGTAATGTCCGCCGATACCGTAATTAGTAACAACGTATTTGTCCACAATTTTTGTCGTGGGCTTTGAAGAAATCTGAGCAAGTCTATGGTGAATTGTCTCAAATACTGGATCATTGTGTTCCCTAAACGATGCCACTTTTCTAAGGGATATATCTTCGTTTGTATCGATCGACAATCTTTCCAGCTAAAAAATAATAAGCAGAATATATAACCATATTTATATTAATATTATGACTATATAATGTCCGATAAAGCATCATAATATGTAGGTCATATTAAATTATTTGTGATGTTCAATAATTTACTAAATAAATGATTAAGAGAAAGCTACGTGTCTACCCATATGCGTATAATACTATTATGTTGTCTCCGTCTTACAAACGTACGGCGTTGAAAAATTGTTATTTCCCTAAAATATCTAATGAATAGAATTATTTTTTAAGTCCTGCTTTCAAAGTTGTATGCCTACTACATGGACATAAAATTAAATTAATTTGTAAAATTAATTATTGGTCTCTAATAAATGTTTTATGCCTATGGTCTTTCTGGCAAGTACTTATAAGTTATAACGCACCCCCCTATCCGTAGAATTGACCTGAAAACGCCCCTCAAAGGTAGTTAAGAATTATACAATATTTAAAAGCTGTCACGTATACATTCAATCCGACTATAATCTATGTACAATAAATGCATAGGCCATTAGCCATATATTGTTTTATTAATATATTTATATATATATAGGTATAGTAGGTACCAATACCTACATACTTTACCTTAGGTTTAGCCAATTCTTTTATTTTCTTTATTTCGTCGTCGAACAGAACGTTATGATACAGCATCATGCTTGGTATTACAGATACAATTTCTTCACGTAATGGACCAATCATCAAATATTTACGACCTCCATGATAATAACGACATTTCAATTCAAAGTATTTGAAATCCATTGTATTCAGACACGCAGTTTTGAAATCACTGACTTCTTCCTCTGAATCTAGTTTCTATAAGAATTTTACACATTGTTTATTTGATTGCGATTGAAAATTCATGAACTGTCATATAATATTAATCCAAGGCCCCCTGGTCTTTCAGGAAAACACGATAATTTGAAAGTACCTATAGTGCGTCGGATGAAATATAGAATAGCCAGTAGGACATAGGCGACCCGTAGTATCTGTATTAACACAATTAATTGTTAATTGTAGGTAATCAATAATCATGACCTGGTGGGTCGGTTCACAAAGAGCAGTTGCCGTTAAAGCGTTTAACGAAATGATTACGTTAGGTTAGGTTTGTAATAGTTACGTACAGAGGGACATTATCTTACGATATTAATATCAAGACATGAATTTGTTTTTTAAAACTACCATATGAAACAAAAAAACAATGAGATTTTTAACCTTTTTTTCGGACTGGGGGTCAGTGTGATAATGCTATGTGCCTGTAGTATATACACGTCATATAAATTATATTGAACATTGCTATTTTTTAATATACATATTAGTCATAACCAAGATATCAGTATCTCATATAACATATTATAACGTTGTAATATTATATTTACTTGAAGTGAATACGAGTAGAACTTTTTATCTTGATCGTAGGCCGTGTTGCGCTTAAAAACGGTCTTTCCGACCCATATTGTGAACTGCATATTCAGGATATTATCGTTAGTTTCGTTAGTTTCTTCGATATACTTGTTTAATATATCCAACGCACGGTCAATGTTACCTAAATTTGTTTCAGTACGATAATAATGTGCCACATTTACTATGTCTGCCTACAATAATCAATTGTTATAGTTCCCATAATTCACTAACCATTACAACTCACTACAGTATAGGTACCATATGCCCATATAACTTATAAGTATTAAGTGTACGTGTATATTATATAAGTACTTACCAACTAAGTAACTCGACCAGGCAAATTTTGTTATGAATGTGCTGTAATCAACTTTTAATTCATTACCCTCTTTATTGTTTTTATCGTAGACTTCGACAAACCACCAGTATGCACAATGATATTCGGCATTATCGTAACACAAAGATGCCATATCATAGCAATCGTTAACTAGAATAAATAAATCTAATTAATACATTATAAATTTATAACGTCTATACATTAACAGGTAGGTATTAATCATTACAGCAAAATGGCTTTCGGTATTGAATATTAACAGGTATAGCCAAGGTACATGGTGGTTTTTATTTTTAAATTTCGATCGTTGGTTGTCTGTGAGCATAATATAATATATGGGAACATTTTGATTTCGAATTATTTTGCTCGTCGAGAAATTAAATATTTTAGTCAAGTCTTGCGTAAATATTTAATTACGACAGAATAATTTTTTTTAATATGATAACTATTATATTTAATTTAAACATTTTGAAGGACAAAATATTATGATAAACTTGCATATTATACGAGTATACTTTCCTATCTACCTTGTCCAAACTCAGCTTATTCTAGATCATTTTTTTGACATACCAAAGTCAGATCAGGCGTTATATTGTGGCATTATGACCAACACACATAATACGTAATATATACTTTTACAATTTAGTTTTATTCATACACTTCAGCCTATTTTTTTACACAATAATGGTGCCACTCACTTATACTATAATATTATAAACACGCAAATGTTTAATAGTTCATTGCAGTATTATTACCATCAAACGGTTTAGTTGGGTGGCCACCAATGTTTCCATTCGATATTTCGTGAGCATCAAGTTCGTAGATAATCTGTAACCTCCTTATAGCTTTTAATCCACTGACAATGTTATCATAGGTCACTGATTTATCTTTGAATTCCCCTAAAACAGTAAAAAATATGCTTATAATTATACTGTACACACGAGGAAAACTCAATAGACGGAAATAAAACAAATTTTTAAAAAAATAAATTTTAACTAAAATCGATAATATTTGAATTTACCGATCACAGTTGTTTGTGCAGTTTTGTTTTTTAATGTTTCCCAATCACTTTTAATTCGTAGAATGGTTTTGAACGCATTTATGGAGCTCTCCGTGTACGACTCTGCGAGCTCTTTTTCGTTTTGTTTCTTTCGTTGCTCTATAAACCTGAACATTTTTCAAACTTAAATTTTTTTTAAATATATTATTCTTCTTTTTAGTTCAATTTGTGATTACCTTCTAATGTTTTCTAATCTATTATACTCATTTTGTATGTACTTTTCCGTTGCAATTATATGTTCGACTTCCAAGTTGAACAGTTCGTAGACCGAAGACAACGAGTAATGCCAATTGTTGCCGTGGCACAAGTTAAAGTGAATTAAATATAAAACAATAATAATTTTCTGTAAACTATACATTATATCCATCAGTGAAAACTACTGTGATCACGTACACAATACATCAACTAGTAATTATATATCTAACAAACACACACTACAGGTTTATAACGTTTCATGATTTTAAAACCATGCATGTAAATAAATCTATGAACTATTTGGTTAGGTGTTTATTCGCAGCGAAATGTAATTTATCTGGGTTAAGTAGGTACTAAATTATCCGTTAGAAATGTATATTGTAGTGATAACTATAGTGTAGCCTATTTGAATTTTTTTAAATGTATAGTAGGTACACTATAATATAATATTAGGTGCAGTCGTACAGATATATTATTATAATGAAATAACAAATATTATGAACATACAAGAGTAAAATAATTACAATTGTTTATTCAGTTAGGTATGTAATTAGTATTTAGTATAAATGACACAGTGGCTTCGAAAACACAAATTACAAATTAAATACATTGTGATACGGAAAGAGCTAAAAAGAGTGTTGTAGCCTCTACCTTTTTGTAAGGGTTAGGTCTAGGGACTAGGGTATTTTGATAAAATTACTAAATTATGATACCTATATGAAAATACGTCGTGTATCTGATCATTTTTTGGGAGGCTAAACTATACTTAGCATTTTAAAGTGTTTTCTTGGCCCCCTATTCGCCTAATTTGAGCTTATGACTTACTTGGTGTAATCAGACTTGAAAAAATTCAAAATTGTATCAAAAAACAAGCTTTTTTGACTAGATAGTAGGAACTTTCGTCTAACAAAAAAATAATTGTATCATTCGAATCACATTTATCACATGGATTTAACATTTTAACATAATATATTATACATAATGTACCTAATACAAAATGTGAAAAATATGATATATGTAATACATAATGCAGATAAAGGTATACGTACAATGTTTAGTAATTAAATTTATTTCTATACTTTAAATTACTTAGACGACATTATGAAATTAGTAAAAGTACACAGGTATAGGTGTATAAATTTAATTTACAGTATGTATGAATAATAAGTACCTACATGTACCCAATATATTTGTTATTCCAGTTAAACTAAATATATACTTAACAAAATAAACAATATTTCTAAACTACGTTTATTATTTTATTATCTCGCCAATTGTATGTTAACGGTTGTCCTTCTTCGAATACTACCTTTGTCATAACTAAAATGTATAAAAAAAAACATTAGTTATAAACTATTGAATTGAGGGTATAGTTCAACAGCAAAATTAATTTTTATATTTCCTATTCCATGACATTTTTAATCAAAAACAAATTTTTTTTTATAAATAATATATTATATTATATGTGTATATTGTTGCTAATTTGTTTGAAACTACCCAATTAGATGGTATATTCTTTGGTGTATGTTTCTGCATAATTTTTTTTTCATCCAACAGTAATTTGTACTATATTTACTAACCTATCCATATTATGAAATTACTCACTCCATTTATTTCCTTTTATCACAGGACAACCTCCATGATAAGTGCCACTATTTACAGAACCATTATTCAAATATAAGTTTGTAAAAACTAAAGCCGTTCCTTTACGACAATGTGCAACATAGTTTAAATTTGGAAATACAGTATACCCATCATCTGGGACGTCAGTCATCTATAAGATAAGAAAAGAAATTGTTGTCAATGTGTATAGTGTTTAATATTTGATCGGATAAATGATGATAAATAACGAACATAGAATAGTGTGGTGACCAATCTGTTACCGTTCAACTTAGGGCCCTAAAAAAAAAAATGTAAATCCTACAAACATCGTAATTAAACGGAACAATATATTTATGTATGGTGTGGTCGTGTGGATATACCTAAGTGGTATTATATTAAGTAATAAACAACATTTTAATTTAGAACACGGTAAAAGTATGGTTCAAAACATGTGATTCAGAAATGTACAATATAATTTTAATGGTGGCGTTGCTTGTATGGGTATTTCACCAGATTGAAAAACCTGAACAAAATATAAGAGTGGCTATACCAGGTAACTAGTTAGTTATTATAATTAAATATCAACTTCGAAGGTACTTATGTAACAAAAAATCACTTACATCTATAAATGCATCCAAGTGCACAGTGAAATGACCACCTAAGCCGTAATTTACCGTTTGAAATCCTTCGGCCGTCTTGGTGGAATACTCAGTGATGCATTCAATACGTTCGTTAAGCTTACCAAACAGCTTCGGGTTCGAATTTTCCAAAAACCATTTCAGCTGACCCAGGCGTCGGTCGTCAAACAAAGTAACCTTACCGTCTAAGTAATATGCTGCGTCGGACAACTGTGGAGTGAAACATAATAATTTAAAATTATAATTTCTGAGGCTCTAGTAAGTCAATAATTGTTATATGTATGTATAACTGTATAATTTATGTTATAAAGTACTATTGAAATTCTGTTTGGATATTTTTAGTCAATCGGTGTTGCAAAATAACTTAAAACGATTCTCAATCGTGCACAAAGTTTAAATTGTAAACAATACAATAATAATTTAAGCATCTTTATGCATTTTATTCGAAATCTGTTTTTATTAGTTGATTTTAATCGCTGAGATAACTTATACTGTGTTTGTATTTATAACACCATTTTAAAACATATGTAGATAAATACTTAATTGTACCTATAAATTTCATTAAACTTAGATAGAAAACAAAAAATATAGGTACAATTTACTATTTGTACATTTGTTATTTTATTGAAGGTGTGTTATAAATAATAATATCTGCTGCTGTGATTATATTATGTTGTTCGAATTATGGAGTTATAGATTTAAACTTATAAAGTGGGCCTCTCTCTCTCTCTCTCTCTCTCTTCCCCTTTCTCTCTTCTACCTCAAGACTACATCATCTATAACTAGGGTTACCATACGTCCGGATTTCGTCCGGACAGTCCGGATTTCAAACACCAGTCCGGATTGGCGTCCGGATTTGAAAAATGTCCGGATTTTATAAAGGTAACCGTTTAACGTGGTTATATTGATACAAAAAGTTATGTTTGGTGACAGATTTCCGGGTTCACTCTGTATAAATTAATAATATCTAATTTCTATTTATTAGTATAAGTTAATTAATTATTATAACATGTTTAACCTAATAACTCTTATGTAGACGTTTTATTTATAGATTTAAATAAAATTGTATTAATGAAAGAACAATACTGTTTAACTTTAATTTTACACCCCCTCCCCCGGAAACGGAACTGATGTCCGGATTTGGTCTAAAAACATTATGGCAACCCTATCTATAACACTTTTTAAAATTAATTTTTACCACACGGTTATCACTGAGTTTTAGTAGCATCTCCATAATATTTTCCATTTGGTCAACTGAACATCTTCACAAAGTCTTCTAAGATACAACTTCTAACCTAACCTGTATTATACTACTACAACAATATGTACCATCACTTATTACTGTATATTAGTAGATGCCGAAATATTTTTGACATATATTGGGTGTTACCCCTATTTAATCATAATTATTAATGGCATCTGGACACGTGTCTATACTCAATATAGTCATACAGTGTATATCTAATTTAGTTAAATGATTTACTTACATCATTCGAAGCCATATCAGTAATCGTTTTAATCTCTTCGTCGTAGATAATGTCATGATAGAGTTTTACGTTCGGATCGCTGCTGATATCTTCTTCTTTGAAAGGCATTAACATTCTATACGGAGAATTTTTTGTTTGATAACGGCATTTAGAATCACACGTTAAGGGTCGCACAGATTTGCCTGTCCTGCATAAATTGTGGAAACGTCTTACTAGATTGAATTGTTCATAATCCTAAAACCGAAATTCTATATTTAATAATATAACAGTTGAGAAATATACATGTCATATAAGTGTTTATACAACCAACTAGCGAACATCAAATATCATATTATATACGAGTACCTAGTTAATATAGCTTTAATCATTCAAAATTCTTACATCATATGTGTCATATATATCTGCAGATTGTGCACTGATATCGCGAATGTTTAATGCCTTTGCCATTAGAGAAAAATATGCAGAATGCTTAGTGTTTTCTGAAAGATTCAGATTACTAAAATCCGATAGAGTTTCTAAACTAAATCCTAAAAAAAAAGATACTTCATTAATTACCTTCCAATGTGGCCTGTATAGCTTATTAAGTATGTATAAGTGTAATGTGTATTAGTATGTATTTATATGTTTTTTTTTTGTTCTTTTTTAAAAGCCATCTGTTAAATAATCGAACAATAGACTTAAAATATGGTAATAAATAAAAAAAACAAAATATGACATAGAATAACTAGTGAAGAAGCCTCCCAGGGGAGATATAGGTACTTTATTTGGTACTACTGTATATTTTTTGATGCGTCTGTTTAGATAGATTGAAGTCACAAAAATCCGAGTTTATAGTTCAATTGAAATTTGAGATTATGATGGAATGGAAGGTGGTTTTTTTGTTGATATAAGATAGTTGGGTTTGAATTTTAGGATAGTATAACTAGAATGATGCTGAGAAAGATGGACATAATTTCTCGATTTTAAATTGGCAGTTTGAGTTCCTGCATATACTTGTGTATGTTTCCACTTCATACATTTATATATTCATATTACCTGCACATTATATACTGAATACTTATTTATTTGTATGAATAGTTGTATTATTACACAGTGACTGTGTAGGTATACCTGTGGCCATTGATGCTGATCTTGTATAATAATTCAATCTGTCTATATCTACACATTTTGGACGATCGATCAACCATTTATTATAAGCTTGAACAGCCCAATCTATTACACTGTAAGTGTCATATTCTTCGAAACTATATTTAGACATTATATAACATTCGCAAGCTAAAAATTAAAATAAAAAACGTTGATAATCGTTAAAAGTTATGGTCCGATGTGGCAAGTATTTTATAATATGTTAAATATATTACCTATTACAAATTCGTAATAGCAGATCAGTCGCATAGAACTTACCGTCCATTGGGTCTCCGATGATCCGATCCTTATATCTACCAGCAGCCATGTCGGACGCAGGAATCAAGTACACTTTTTGAATCCTTCTTAGAGATCGATAAGCTGATTTCACATTAAATTCGCTAATTTCTTGCTGCTCGTCAAATTGTTTAATGACTGTGTTTTTCGTAATCAACATTAACTTATCAATAGGACACAATGTGGTAGTTCGGTACATTGAATTTTAAAACAAATGAGCATAATTACCATTCACTGAAATTGTATTATTCATCAATCTCTTTATTTTTGATAAGTTATTGTACACCCGTGACATCAATTTCAAACTATCGACTTGACTAAGTATTAAGGTACGTTTCATATATGCATAATCTATGTACCAATCAAAAATTGGAATTATAAGACTAAAAAACAAATTGAATAAATATCACAATATGTAGTTACATTATATTATATGTATATTATAAAATGTTATTCAAATTAAGCAGCACCTATACAATAAAGTAACTATAACGGATAAGAGCGATTTTAATGCTGTAGCCCTTTTCTGATTACATTAATGGCACGTATTAATTATGGGTTAGGTTCGCATGATAATAATTTTAGAAGTTGTTATTTATTTATCTTTTCATTTACAAATAAGTAAAAATATAAATCTATTTAATTTTGTTTTTAAAAATGTCACCTCTCCAATTCATGTAATCTCTCTGTTTCCAGTTCCAAATATTTTTTGACCAAGGCAAACTGTTCATCTTGTAGGTTATAGAGATGCCTTAATATTATTTGCGACGAATGCCAATTTATTCCATTTGCAAGAGGGCATGTGAAAATGAAAAACACTAAATATCTTAACATATTTTTTTTGTTGCATGTGTTCACTCTATATTTTAAGTATAAATGTATATTATAAAACTCGGAGGTGCGTTAAATAAATGTGAATGTATATTTTTTATTTTTACGGGACCATTATTAAGTAAACAAAATAATATTTTATATTGTGGACAAATGGATATAATAATTACACGCACATAAAAAAGCCGGTTGATTTATTTGAAACCATAATATTATACATATATCTACATACATGTCTATTATTATTTATACAACGTAACTTTTATATTGTATACAGCTTAAATTCCACAAAAATGTGCGTAATATTATTAATTATGTTGCAGGCATATATGAACAATTTTTTTTTGTTAGGAGGACATGTATGAAAAGTTTAAAACCATGTTATTTCTACCGGATTTATTTGATATGGTAACTCGGTTGGTATACGTAGATAGCGGTGTGTACTAATTGAGTCCCCGTACCTGAACGGAAAAAATTAATATACTAATTGAGTCCCGGGTACAAACGAGACATATACTAATTGAGTCCGAGGTTAGGAAACTAATTGTATACGAATTGAGTCCGAGGATTATTTTGAGTAAAAAATAAAATGACCATCCAAACAAAGAGAAAATTATGCCGCGCGTCAAAAGCCGCTCCACACGGATATACCTATATATTCATATTATATTATTGAAACTTTGTCCAAAAGTAAACAAAATACCAATGGTATGTAGTTATTATTTTCATTCCGTAGATAGTAAACAGTTGAGTAAACTGTATTGGGCAGCTTTTAAAAGTCCCATCAATATATATTGTATCAAACGAAAAAATATATATTGGTTATATATTAATTAAAATATTAATATAATAATTATTTTATATTATAATATTTTAACGGGACTCAGTTAGTATTAAAACATGGACTCAATTAGTATTATACCTACAATTTCACTGGACTCAATTGGTTTATACCCCAAAACAACCCGGGAGTCAATTCGTCATAAAAGGTTATACTGGGACTCAGTTCGTATGCAGCCGTAGATAGTGAGTACATTATTATAACAATATTTTTACGTGGGTACCTATACAAAATTAATTGTTTAGGACTTTGTACCTTAGAAGTAATAAATATACCCAACCATCATAAGCACTAGTAGGTACTAATGTGTTTATAAATTTAGGTTTTAATTTGTTACACAATAATGACTTTAAGTACAAAATTCAAGTTTCAACGATATATCTATTATTATATACATACCTTATACCAGTGGTGTACCCAGAATTTTAGTACTGTGGGTCTGCCTCACTTACAATAGGCCAGTAGGCCCTCGAGTAGGTCACTGCGTAAAAACTTCAACCAACTGTGTATTATAAAGTCCTACTATTTACCTTATTAGTTATTTATATCATATTTTGATACCAACATTCAAAATAACTATAATATATTGAGGGTTCTATCACTGGACAGCCTCCCTCCTCATGAATATTATTATCATGTAAATATTCTCCATCATATTTATCTTATTTTCGTATTGCGTACGTATACTATGCTACAGATAGTAAATTTCCTATTAAAACTTTAATAATATGATATTATGACTTAAGTGATAACTAATTTTTAAGTAAAATTTAACATTTGCAAACTTTAGATATTATTAATTAATTGTTATTTTCATTTGTTGTTTTAAAAAAAAAAGGAACAGTTAACAAATTTACACAGAATATTATTATATTAAATTTATTTTTTTATTTGTATACGTATATATTAATTATATTTTGCAGTTTATTTATTTTAACAACAGTAGGATCGATGTGTTTTGTTAAGACCCGTATCACAGCTGCGGGTGCGATACGCAGAGTGTTTTTCGATTTTGGTACAATATAAGTTGATGAGTTTCAGCACGATTTCGTACACTTTTTATACTTCAATACTCAGTCTTCGCATATACATTTATATATCCTAATACACTTATACATTTACATAGTAAATATATTTAAATTATTGTTATTTTATATTTAATATTATTCCATCAATGATTATTGTACATATTATTTCCAATAGAAAAATGGTTATGTAGCTCTCACTTCGGGGGGCTATATTTTACCGATAAAAAACTGTGGGTCAGCTGTTAACCTCACAAACCCTCCCCTGGGTCCCGCTCTTGCCTAATACATACTATCTACTATAATACATTCTATGATATAATTAAGCATTAATAAGATAATTGTTTCAAAACATTTCGATTTTATATACAGTATTAAAAATGAAATATCATAAAATTTAATTTAAGGTCATCATCAATTATATATACTATATAGTATCCCACAATTCAAACAATTTTTAAAAACACTCAACACAGCATCGTCCATCTTTTATTTCTGTACAAAAATCATTCGAGCATTTTTTTTTAAACTTACAATAACTTAAGGGGTTTAAGGATCTGTAAATCGAAAAATCTGAATGTCAACGGTCAGTGGTCATCAGATAAAAATAACCGCTAAACGTGAATATACCTATTGAAACAATAAAAGCGATAAATACGAAACACTATATGGTTTAATACTAAATATATATACATATGTAACAACCGTAACTGGTGTATGTTTATTAGGAGCAATATAATAATCCACTGATGTCTGATATACCATTTACCATTTGTATACAATTTACCTACTTATCTGGTTGAGAATTTTTTGTCCTAATATTATGTACATATTATTATACTTAATTAATATGTGAGTAACAGTAATAATGGAAGACTACAAAAATAGAGTTAATATAGAATACATAAGAGATCTATTTATTACTATATACATAAATATTTGTTATTTCATCGTATATAATATTTATTATTTCTACACGTTTTTATTTATTTTTCCAATTATAAGGCAAATGTTGTCCTTCTTCGTATAGCCATCTAGTCATAACTGAAAAATATAAATAGTTGATTTTCTATTCTTAGTTTAGTGATCATACATTATAGCCACATAGGTATTACATAATAAACACAAATATTGCATACCTATTTTATAAAGAAAAAAACCTCTAAACGAAACAATATACAACATTTAATTTAAGAGCACATCACACCCGCATGTGTCTCAGTCTTTTATCAATATTTTTATTAAAAAAGCAAGTTATGAACATTTTTAAGTTGTACATTTTTTGTACATTTTAAAATGATCATAACTTACTTAAAAACTATAATGTCAATAAAATAATAAAAGATGCCCTAGACGGCCTAGACTACAATCTTACCTTTAAATTGTATAACAGTTCAATTCACTGTAATTTTAGAAATAATAGAATAAAATGTATTATAATTAAAGTAAAACTTGCTATGTTGTATATATTTTGTAAGACGTCCACAACACATGTGGGTGTGTCGCATACCCTAATTGAACGAGTTTAAAAAAATTAAAAAATTATAAGTAGTATAACAAATCTAGGTTTATTGTTTATAATATAATTAGTTAAGAACCTATTTAAAACCGTAAATTGTAAACTCTACAATTCTGTACTTTATATAAGAAATTTTTATAGTTGTAATTGTAACTAACTATTACAGATTAAGATTTAAGAGTACCTACTGATTCTTAAAAAAACTTGCACCTACCTACCTTTTAATGAATGTTTTTAAATTTATTTATATATAATTTAGGTACTATATACGTTGAATTAAATGTAAAATTTAAAATGGCATTCATAAAAAACGGCAATGAAGCACAATTTCACATTAATTTTCTAAGTAAAGATACCTATCATTGATGGTCATTATATTTAAACTAATTTATATCAAAACTTGGAAACCTTAAAAATCTAGTAGTTTTTTAGGTATTATAAACCATACAAACTTAAATCACATAGATGTAGGTACAGCTATAATGAAGATTTTAAAATTCATTTTTATCTTATCGCTGCTTATATAAATTTAAAAAATCAATACTAACTCAATTTATTTCCTTTCAATAAAGGACAAGATCCATGAAGAGTTTCATAGCATAATTTTCCATTAGACATATTCAAATTATGCCAAACCAAAGCAGATCCTTTTTCAGCAGGAGCAATAATATCTAGCATAGGAAATGCTGTATAACCATCGTTTTGAACGTCAGTCAACTAATAAATAGTAATACATTTTTATATTTTATATGTTTGGGTACTTAATCAAAAAAATAAAATTGGCTAACATAAAATAATACAGTCACTAATCTGTTACCAAACATCACATTTTCCTGAAAAAAAAAATAAAAAAATAAAAAATCATTAAAAAAATCAGATAATAATATAATGATATTTATAGTTCAATATTGTATAAGCAATAGATTATCAATTTTAATAAAATATAATGATTATAAATTATATATATCATATCTATTCTATCTATTCTATCATTTCCAATCAATATTTTTAAAAAATTATTAAGTATAGCCTGTATAGGTAAATAATTGTGTTACGTACAGTTCCTTTTTGGAACGTATCATGATGAGGTAAATAATGACCACCTAAACCATAATTGACTACTTGATATTGTTCAGCTGTTTTTGCAGAAAATCCGGTAAAAGATTCAACACGAGTATTTAGTGCATCAAGATATTCAACAGCATCGTGTTCATTTATCCAGTTGACTTGACCTGAACGGCTTCGTTCTTTTAACGCGGTATTGGTACCAGTTGTTCTAATATGCGCATCTCTCATCTAGTATATTATTATAATAATATGATTAGGTAAGATTTTTTTAATAAAAACAGTAGGTATAGTGCATACAAGTGTATAGGTATATTATAATAGTTAATAATATCTCTAAATTATAGATGTTTCTAATAGTTAAGGTTTTCGAACCGAACACTCCTATGTCAAATCTAAGATGTAAATACAAATAAAAATTGATTATCGTAATATCTGCTTCTCAATTTTAGTATGAATACATTTTTTTTAGACTTTGTGTTATTAATTTAATTAGTTAATATAAAGGTATAAGTAATAAATCGCATAGACTACCCTATAGGTATTTATTGTCATTATTCTATAATTTAAATATTTTTAGTTAAATATATTAGTTATTTTATAAGGTTATCAAATAATCAGCATTTTTGATAAAGGCAAATTTATTTGAACCTTTTAAATGTTTTTAATGTTTGATTCAATTTAGTTGTTTCGTTCGGTTTGACTTAAAAAAAAACCTGAGAATTCACATCGCCGTATTATTGTTATTAACTGTTATTATAGTCATTACCAACGTACAGACGTACAGTAGATATACAGTGGTATGTTTTAAAAATATGTTTGCTATATATTACATTTTAATAAGCGTAATAACAAAAGTAAGCCACTACGATTCGATTTGTTAATAAGATTGAAATCTTTGTAGGTATGAGGAACTTGGGACGCTCCTTAAAAACGAACTCTATAGCCGATACTTCTAATTCCATGACATAAATATCTGTGAGAAAATACCCCTCTTAATTTCGGTTATTTTTACAAGTATTTTATCCCCCCTCCCCCCTTCGAGTATCAACTACATCCATAGGTTACTTTATTCTATCTATTCATACTAGAAACCACCCTCAAATTTGAATATTGAAGAATTCTTAATTCTCTAAAAGGTGATGAGTGATGACGCACTAGAAAATAATTTCGGCTGGGGGGAGCGTACATTGTTTCAATTAATACATCAATGGGAAATGATTAGCTGGAAACCGAAATACAAGATTTCACAAAGGGTTATATAACCTGTCTGGTTGCACCTCTGTTGACACATAAAAATACATAAGTAATAACACTAATAACTTCTGTAATTGTTAAGATATCATAGTTATATACTAAAGGCTTAAAAAAAAATACACTGATAACACTAATAACACACATTACTGTAAGACCAATACATACACCACTCGCTCAGTCTCTAAGACATCATCAATCCGTTATATTCAATATAATATAAGTAAATATTGAAGGTACTTTAGAATATATAATAATATAGAGAGAGTGGCCAAAAACCCCAAAACAGAGAAACTCTATAGAATTCACAACTTCTTTGACTCAAGATATTAATTTATCAACATACACAGTACACACAGAATAAAAAATAATACTATTGATTATACATATTGCATATAACTGCACATGTTTATGCTATTTTATATCTCATCTAAATTAGGTAATAATAACGATTTATTCGATCCAATTAAAATACTTACGTTTTCTAAGCTTGCCGTTTTAATTTTCAAGATTTCGTCATCATATAATACATCATGATATATTTTAATGAAAGGTTCACTATTAATATCTTCTTCTTTAAATGGCATCAATATTCGGTAAAATAAATTATTCGTTTGGTATCTGCATTTTAAGTATTTTTTTAATGTTCGTGATACCCCACGCTTACATAAATGTCTAAATTCATTTTCAATTGTATTTCCTTGCAAACGCTTTAAAACAATGCATTTAATTTAAGTTCTCTAATTGTAATTTTCATAATAATTATTATTCTTACATTATATACTCCCATTACATCCATTATTCTCTCCTTTTCCAGTTCAAATAATTCGTTTCTTATAAGATGATAGTACCTCACACATTTTTCAGTATATTCTTGATAATTTGATCCACTTGGATTTACTAAATTCATAAAGTCAAATCCTAAAATATATTTTTAAGAATGGTTATACCTTTTAAGTAATATTCATCATATTCACGTTTAATTTAGGTTTTTAAGTGAGAGAGTAATAATATTAGGCGCTGTTTTATTCGGTTTCCGAGATCGTCAAAAAAAAATATAAAAATGTTATTTAATTTATTAATTTGTTTTTAATTTTGAAAATAGCATTATCATATTTTATTTGTTCACACATTTTTCACCTGTATATACTGATGATGATGCTATGAAGTAATTTAAAATATCGATATTTACACATTCTGGTCGACCATCACTCTCCCATTTTGTATACGCTTCGACAGCCCAATCTAGGACGCCGTATATATCGTTTCCCTCTGAACAATACTTCGCCATGACGAAACATTCACATGCTAATAATAATAAATGCATTCAGTGTTGACTAGTTAGTGAGAAATACTGAACTTGATTGCATGGTTGAAAATGATAAATATAAATTATTACCATCCATCCGGTCACCGATAATTTTTTCATTAATTCTACCTGCCGCCATGTCTGATGCAGGGATTGCATAAAATAATTGTAGTCTTCTCAATGCTTGATGTGCCCACAATACATGATCACCGCTAAGATCTTTGTGTTTGTCAATATGGTGTAATGCTATATTTATTGGTTTATTAATTATGTATAAAATGTGAAATAATACTTAAATACTTATTAATTATTAAAGATGTTTTGTTATATAGGCATATAGCCAATAAATTCAAATATGCAAATTTGATTACCTTCTGTAGATTGTTTATTGTTTATTAAATCTTCAATTTTTGAAAAATGATGTTGCATTTGTGTCATCACTTTGATAACGTCCAAGTGATCGTGTAAGAAGTGTTGGTCGGTTTTTTTGTGATCACGCCATTCATATACTGCAGCTACACAACTTAGTAAAGTAATTAAAATTAATATTAAAATCCACATACCTAATATAAAATACATTATAGATATTAGATAGTGAACAAAAATATTTATTAGAAACCTAAATAATACATTATACATTAGATAATATACATTATAGAACACAGTATTTTTTATTTCATACAATAAACTAGCCGTTGGCAGATTCTGTGCACTTCATTGTCCGTTAAAAATAACAATTACTTCAACTATGATTCAAAATTTGTGTTCAATTCGTCATATTTTAATAGTTTAAGCCCCGGCTTAGTGAAGTTCAAAACTTCCCATGACAAATTCCTGTAGATTTAGGTACCCCATCTTAATATCCATTAATGATTTTTACCTCAGTCATATAAAATACAGATCTACATAATTATACTCAATCATAATAACTACTTTTTTATCGCATTTTCAGCTTGATATAGGTGAAACAATTTTTTTTAATCGGTACCTCATGCATAAAGTCATAACCAATTGGTAATTTCTTATTCATCTACACTAAATTTTGTAACCAATAGCAAACCCTATAATAAACAAAAAAATATTATTATTATTATTATTATTTCTATTATCTCTATAAGAAATTCTCAAATTTACAATGAATACAATTAAGGGCTACTTAGCGAGATAAAATGAAGGCAATGTTTCCTTGGGATAGTAGCTTTCTGATGGTAAAAAAATTTTAAATCAGGTAATTATAGTTCCAGAGATTACGCCAAACAAACGAACAAATTTGTCTTCTTTATTTATTGATAAAGATATGCCTAGTCAGTAGGTACTTATTTATTATTTAAAATTTACCTAACAAAACTATACAAAAAAAAAGAATTCTTTAATTTGGTATTTAGGTAACTTAAAATTTTAAAATTGTGTCTAGTAAATGTACTCAAAATGTATTTCAATTTATTTGTAATACAGTTTTTCTTTGCTATTATACAAACAGTATACATACTCTGTATAAACCTAGTTGTGGGAGAATATTGGAGAATCTAAAAATTAAAATTTAATTACTTTTTTAATTCTTCTATACGTTTTGTCTCCAAATCCAAGTATTTATCCAAGGCATTAAAATGATCGTTTTGCAGATCATATAATTTCTTTAACATTATTTGTGATGTATGCCATTTCCCTCCGGCTGCTGCAAATATTAATAACGAAGAAACAATGGCTAAATATTTAAACATGTTCATTCCAAACCTATTCACAGTACTTATTTACGTAACTAACGTAGCTAACGTAACTAAAATAAAGTATAAAATGATAAATTTAGTATGACAATGAGGTGAAACAATTATAAACAGTTCAATAAACTTTTTAACATGACAGATAAAAGAATTATTATTATTTTTTTTTTAAATTTCTATAATTTCAAAAATATTTACTCATGTGCAGCAATCCAAATATTTGTCCATTCTATTCTACATCGACAGTGCCTATAGTTTAATTTGTTTAGCAACACTATAACTCAGATGGGAGGATATACGAACAGTATATAGGCCATAGGTGTATATAGCTTATACATTTATTATAATCTACAATGTCACGTGGCATACATCGTTATTTTGATTCATATAATTTTACTATAGCATACCTATTAGCATATATAGCAAATACTAAATATTCGTATTAAATATCATATAAATACCGTGGAGTGTTGACCATTGTTCAAATATAGGTACTATAATGATTAATATTATATTATACTGATATACCTAGATAATTAAAAAATTGCAAATAATTTTTTAGAATTTTCAAATATGTCATTAAAATATTATACGCTAGAAAACCATTTAGAGAGAGCCAACTAAAAAAAGCCCTCCAATTGGCAAAATTTTTGTCCACTAATATTAGCCAAAAAAAAATAATTTTCAAAAACTAAGAACCAGTTGGCAATAATTATTTGCAAAATAATTATATGATTATAATTTTTATTTATTGAAATTAAATAAATAAATAAATTTAAAACTCTTATAATGGTCGTATCAAGCACCATAACAATTATTGCGTGCCAACAATTTTAGCATTGTGGATACTAGAATTTCTGTTTATTATGAAAATATATCGACGTACAACATTAAAATACATAGATGAATATCTGCATATCTGAATATATATAATACGTACTTATTTGACAGTGAATGATGGTCAGAAAATTATATTTGCAAATATTCTTTTTAATAAAATAAATCAAACGCAGAGCACTTGCGAGCCCGCATGCCCTAAAAAGTGACTAAACAAGCAATGTGCGTTCCGTGTGATTTCGCATGTTTTATGTTAAACTTAGGTGTGGTGTCGACTGTGTCGTAAGTAACGCCCATTTACACTATTTTCACCAAATTATAAATACGGTTAAAAAATATGATAAATTCAGCATGCATTACTCAAAACTTTGGTTCTCTCTGTAAGTCAATTTTCAAGATAGAAAACAAATGTGTGTCAAAGTTGCATGAAAAAATGAATGTCATTGAAATTCGAATTCATATAGAGAGGTACAATTTAAAAAAATAGATGTAATATTAAATCTTTTGCAGTAAAAATACAGAAATGAAATTCAAGGTCATGCGTTCGAAATATTTCGTGTTCCTTTATCGTTGAATACACTTTTTAGAAAAAAAAATTAGAATGTATCTTATGTTTATCTTCTCAGAATCAGAACTAGTTATTCGTAGTTATTCGTAGTTATTCGTCCGGTTATTGATGTTACCAACTCGTAATTTCAAGCTATATACTGCTTAATGTCAACGGTCTAGTATCTACTTCAGTTTTTTTCTATATTATAGAAATACTCATATGAAAATAAACATTTCCTTAAAATACAAAGTAGTAAAATAAAAGGGTCAAAGGTTGATAAGCCCCCTACCACATCCATCATATTTTTAGTATACAAACATGCTTTACACTTGTATACATCACTGCAAGAAGGTATATTTACTCTGAATACTTCTAAGAATATTCTTTATATGACGAGTGATTAAAAAAACAAGTAAAAAAAATAACAGTAATGTATATTAAACATACTTAATATATTATTTAATATTAGTTATTTAAAATACAATGATCAAACAATTTTGTAAAACAAACAGTTAATCTAAGTATACTACTCTTTGGTTTCAAACCTTCGAAGATGGTTTTAAAAAATCTGTGGCTTTTTTGCTGGATTATTATACTTGTGGCCCTAGAAGTTACAGAAATAACAAATTGATAGTTTATCATTAAAATTAAATTTTGGTATTACTATACAAACTTAATATAATTTGATTTCCAACTCTATTATGAATTCAAATACCTACCTATTACACCAATAATTATTATCAAAACATAAATTAACTTTTCAAACTTCATATGTAAAATTAATAAGGTAATTTAAATTTTTTTCAATTATGTTACTAAAACAATTCCAAAACCATACCTAAAACTTTACATAGTTACTATACAAATAGTTTGAATAATAAAACTCAATTAAAACAAAAATTGATACAAAAAAACTAATAAATCTACAAAAGCCAAATAAATTATTTTTATATGTTAGTTAAGATTATCAATTATTAAAAAAAAAAATTTAAAAAAAAGAATTCATAAGAGTTTGTTTTGTTGGCTCTCCTAAAAATTGTATTTGTAATACACAGGTTACGCTAGGTTAGATGTAATATCGTCGTGATGGCAAGGTGGATTTATGTTTTGTTATTATCGTTCATGGTTATCATAATATGTTGGTAGTGATAACTGATAACGAATATGAAAATATTAAAATAGTTAAAAGACTAAACATCGCTCAGTGATAGTGTAAAGTGTAACAAATTGTTCTCTCTTGTCTATAAAATAAAACGTTAACGTACATAAAAAAATATTGTGTAATGCTAATAAATTTCTATTTGGTATTTTTAAATACCATAAATATTTTTGTAGTATACTTGTAAAATTTAAAAATATAAAAAAACAATTTCAATTATGTAATGCACTTATATATATTTTTACTCCGATTTAAATCAATTCAATTTTAAAATAGTAATCATTAATAAAAGTTGAATATAATTTACCTTAAATGGTAAGTAAAATATTAATTAAACCCCTATTATATGATAAAGTTAATTGTTACTTTCACAACTAATATATTTTTATGTTCTAAATTATAGTCTGGGAACAATGATGAAGCATTCCATCGTACTGGATCATTTCGTCGGGTATTACCTCCAGGCAATGATACTACCGGTATAAGTGGTATAGCAGTAAAATCAACCAATACCAATAACTCCTATATAAATGCAAATTATATTCCTTTTTTTCTTGAGTATACCCTCATGTCTGAATTGTAAGTAATAAGAAGCTAAAATGAATACAAATATTTTGTAATAAGTACTCAGAGGCCCCAAAAATATGTTTTGCTCATACCATTGGTAATTTAATGGGTGGTTAGTTATTCTTTAGTTAAATATTCTAAATTGATACAGTTAAATACATTTAATTATAGTTGTATGGTCTTAAGTGGTGGTGAATGTAGTAGTACATCTTATCTTTGTTATGTGTTTAAGATTACTTTGGTGCCTCTGTTAGTACACACATATAAATATTCAATTAATCAATTATTGTCATAATTTAATTTCAGTAATATTTTGAGCAAAAAATTAATTCCAGGAGTATATGTTATACCAGCTGATAAAACTCCATTCAGTAAGCAAAAGTTACACATAGTTAATCAAATTGACCAAAACATTATCAATTTTATATCTTGTTTCAGTATGGTATGGAGTAATTTTCCCGAGGTACGGGCTTTATAAAAATGGAGTTTTTCGTTTTCGTTTACTTATAGACAGTCATTGGCCAAATTGCGATTGTCCCAAAGTGATATTTGAGACACCTCTATTTCATCCATTGGTCAATCCAACCACTGGGGAAATGAGTATTCAATATCATTTTCCAGAATGGAAAAAAGGAGTTAGTCGTATTTGGCATGTAATAGATCATGTATCAAAATCTTTTTATGATATACCTAGAACTAAAACTCCTGAAAATCCAGAAGCTGCTGAATTGTAAATATTATATTTCACATTTTTGGTAAATAATTTACTGACAACTTATTTTTAGATTAAAAACAGATAATGAGAAGTATATGAAAAAATGTGAAGAATGTGTAGAACACAGTCAAGTTGATATATATAAGCAACCAAAACATTCAGAGATTGATCCAAATTATTTGTTATTCGATATTTATGATGAAGAAATTCATGGAACAATAAGACGTTCATGGCTTCAACAAAAAGTTTGTATTATATTAAATGAATATTGAATGCTAATAGTTTCAATGCATAAAAGACATTTAAAGTTAATAAATAACACAATAAACTTATGTCCAGAAACTAACTACAAATTTGTTATCATTATATGTAAACACTATTTAGTAATACAACAATAATGAATTTTTTGTTTTTTAACTTAAATAAATATTGATAATATAGAACAATTGTTTTTTTTTATTTTTAGGAAAATGACAACAAGACTCAACATTTATCTTGGGTACAACCTGGATCATTAGAACCATTTTCTCGGCCAAATACGTAAAAATTAAACTTTTAAATCTAATAAAAATCAACAAAAGTATTAATATTTGTAAAATTAGATATAATTGTACATTTGTACAAACTATAGTATTAATATTTTAATTAAATGAGGTACATAATAAATGTCTTAAGTTATTTTCTACTTCACAAATGTATTATAACTATTCAAATCATTGGAGACTTAGGTATCTTTTAAGATCACAAGATGATTGTATTAAGTATTCGATTTTAAAAAGATATTAAAAATGTTAACAATTAATAAGTAATTAATACAAGAAATAAAATACAGATCTAGGAAAAAAAGAGCCCCAGAAAAAAGCCATGCTATCAAAGTACAGTAAAAAAACTGAAAAGCCTCGAACCAACTAAATACATTATTCTTTTTTATTTTTATTTGAATAATTAAATATAATCATAATATAATCATTACATTTGTCCATATAACACTTCTTTAACATATCCATAACTATAAATATAATATTAAAAAATACTAGTTTAATAATTTGAATAAACTTTTATAGTTTTATGTCATTATAATATTTCATGAGCTAATACACCTAACATTAATCAATTAATGTTAATTGTTTTTTATTAATGATTAAATTATTCTTATTTTAATTAAAAATAATCACAGCAATAACTATATGAACAAAAAACTCGCATTTTTAGTACTAAAATGTTGTAGATACTAAGATAAGAGTTTACAATAATTAATAAAATATAATACCTTCATCATTATTAAGATAAAATCATATGTCAATTACTTGTATTACTATATACTTTAATCTCTTATATTTCAAGTGTATGTTTATACATGAATACCTTTATACCTAATAGTTTAAAATATTGGGTTTATTATTTTATTAAATATTATTATGGTATAAAAGTATATATAAATTATATAATATATTATATATGGTTATAGATCCCTATATCAAAAAAGTATGGATAAATAATGATACATTGTTTAAAAATTAAAAATAATAAAATGTACACTATAGTAAAAATGTGTTATGTATTTAGTTGGTATGGGGGCTTTTTTTTCCTATAAGCGAGGCTTTTTGTATTTTGATATTAGGGCTTTTTTTCGAATACCAAAATATGCTATTATATTGTTATCTTTAACTTACTGTGGTAATTAACAAAATTTGGTACTACATGTGCTACGTAAATCATTCAAATTTGCTCATATTTATCATTATATAGTGAAAATACTAAATGTGAATTTTTAAGTGTTTAAAATTATTTAAATGTTTTAAAAATTAATATTTTTTTAGAAGCTTAATTAATTAATAATATGATATAGTTATGTAGTAATTACATATGACAAATACATGTATATTCTATATATACATATATATAAATATATATATATATATGTTTATTTTATATTAACATAATATATATCCATATTGGAACTATAGGGCTACAGATATTTGACTTGCATGTAGGCCTATAGTTTGATCGTTATTCATTATTGTTTATTTAGTATAAAAAAAACATAATAGTAGTCTTTATTCAAACACAAAAACAAATTTTAAACATTTGAATTAATTTTCAAGTACATTAAATCCCAAACTTACATTACTAATATACTATAATTGAGTTGTGCACATTTTCATTCATTACAAATAATATACCTAGTTGTTATTTGATAATATTGATGTAACATTGTTTTTTAATGTAATATTACAACATTGTTTGTAAATAAGTTTTCAGAAAAAAAATTTACAGTTAAAAATGGTTTTCCAGTTCTAGTACACAGGTACTAAAAGGCAATGATGCATAACGTTTTTCGATCCACAACCCCAAAAATTATTTATTTTGATGATACTAGTTGTACCTAATGTATGTTGTACCTGGTTATCCTATCAACATTAAGTAAGTGTATAGTATATACTTATTTAATGGTCTTAATGTACACAAACAAAATTATTCATATAAATTAAATCATTAATTTTAGGCAATTTTAATATTTCTTGAATTTCATCAAACCAAATAATAAAATACAAAATTAAAGTTTTATTTAATCTAAAATTACTGAAATTATTGTAACTATAACCAAAATTTGATTCGAATTGATATAATAATTTTAACGAGAGACCTGCTCTTGCATTGAAGACTTGATTGATTCTTTGTTTGTATTCCCAACATTAAGATATGACATAATATTATAATTGACACGGCCGTCAAGGCTGCAAAATAATTTTACGTTGTATAAAATAATAATATGCATAGTATATAACTTTTTCATTTGGTGTTAAATTATTGTTGACACTTTAATTAAACCCTGCAGTAATTGTACAACACCAGACTACATGCTGGACATAATCTTCTACCCAATCAGTTATTCAAATTGGGGCTCAACCATAATCCTTACCATAGTACTGTACCTCCCTGTGGTGGTGCTTCATCTTCATGTAACATAATTGACTAAAAAACTGTCCTCATTGTTCCTTCATTAAATCAAATTTAAAATACCAGTTTTTATTTACTTAGTTTAAACTACTCCTATACTACTGATCCAATAAGAATTTATTTATTTTTCAAAATTTGAAAATTTTTGGGTGGACTTGTTATTAATTAAATATTTGTATAAATCAATGAATCAACCTAAATTATTTTAATCTCTTTAGGTTGTCTATTCTATAAATAATTTGGTTTATTGTATGTATAGTGTATACTTTATTACTATGTTTGTATTTTCAATAGTAAATCCATATAAACTAATAAGTAACAGATTGGACAGTTGTCTGTAAAATAATTATGAAGATATTTATTATTGTTAAGTACTAATGGGTCTAAAATCAAAAAAAAAAACAATTTTTTTATATTTTCTCATAGCATTGATATTTTTATGTACTATAGAATCTATAGTATAGACCTACCTACTTTATATTTTTGTTCTATATTTTTAGTGCATGATTGGGCCAATACTGATATAGGAAGAAGTTCTGGTCCTAGTTTTAATAAACCCAATATAAATACTCATTATAATATAATACACTGTATAGGTATTATGTTAAAAAAAAATGTCTGTAATTATCACTAACTAAAAAGTATTTACGCATACAGATTTATTTAATAATCAGTGGTATAAAAGTCAAAAATATAAAACTATTTTTTAACTATAAAATAATTTAAACACGTATTTCATACATTGCATTTACAAATGTATTGTTCACGGACAAAATGTTTTCCTATTTTTGGAGGCATAAAAATGTTCATGAGTATAACTTTTCTTAACGACCTAACTGATAATAATTATATAAATATTTTATACTTTTATAAGTATTATTTTAATGTAGATTTTAAGAAAAATGTGAATCTGGATAATTTATAATTGTACTAAGCGATGGCCTCATTTACCCGATTCCTGATCATTTTTAGTCCCGGATTGGCTGCTTTTGTTGGCAAAATAACAACTATAGTATTCACTATTTTCGTCAAATTAAAATGTCAATCTTATGAACAGTAGGTATCGAGCAGTTTATGTAGGCTAAAAAGGAGACAATCGTCAGATCGAACTATTTGGCACAAAAATACCTACCTACCTATTTTCAAAAATACATTATTGCTCAATTATACGTAATTTATAAAATATTTTTTCAAAATTCTTTTTACAATATTTTGTACTGAAATTATTATTATATTCTATGTATCTACAAATCATAGGTGTTATTGGTAAAATGTATTCAAAATTGATTATACAATTTTAGAGAATGCTTTTAATAATTTATGGTAAAAACATATATTAAATGAAAATCATGAACCTAGATAACATTATTATACGCGAAGTATTAAATTGTTTTTATTCAGTTTTGAAAAACACAGCCCTGAAATGTCCTATTGTCTTCTCGAGAAAGTTATTTCCCTTCATTTGGTTAATTCTTAGTTTTCTGGGTCTAAAAAAACACATAGGAATCGATTATTGCAATCATCTATGATTGATTATTCCGTATTCAATTTAGTGAATATGTTTTTCTATTTACCTATATTCTGTCCAATTTGAGAAACGTGTGCTAGGGGACTAGGGGAGTGACAAGACTACACGGCAGCCGGCAGGTAGGTATGTACAGATAATTTAGGTTCTGGGTTAACAAACGGGTGTTGCCTGGCAGCCTGACGAAAATTGGTCGCCACCGACTACGTTTCTTAACTTGAATAAAGTATAACATTATGTATTACACCTTGCACATACTTAAATGACTATATTGAGAGATGACAAACACAGAATTTCTTAGTCCTAAATAGTTTTGGGAGTCAAGTGGTACTGGTGGTATACAATTACCGTGCAGCTGTCTCGAAATGGGTATATTATGATTTTCTTATGCAGCAAATGTATATACAATCAAAACAACATACTATTATGCTACGATTTTTTTTTCATGTAAGTAGCTAATTATGATCTATGAATTAAAATTCAATATATTTTAATTCTTTATAATACATTTTTTTTGCAATAAATATGCAATTTTTTTTTTTTGTATTACCAATTTATATTCGTATTTATTATTTATGTACTTAAACTCATGCTACAACTTGTCTTGAATCCTAAGGTCATACTAAGATTGATAGTTTTTAGTTTTTACATATTATTTATCATCTTGTTTATTTTTCTTGTATTGTTTCAGAAAGCCTTAAAAGTTTATAAATATGTAGGTAATATTGTTCAAAGCTTATGGGTTTAAGATATCTGACACCTACCTGTTTAGTCCCTGCATATATTTTAAGACAGATCAATTTTACTTCTGTTTTTAAAATTTTTTTTCCAGTTGGCGTCTGGCAACACGTTTTATTTAAAAATATTCGACTATCCAATTACCACCTGTATACATTCAAATTTGGCACTAGCATAAATATCGTAGCTTACTCAAATGACTATAGTCATATATATTGCGTGTCCTGAACAATTATTTTGTTCCCATTACTTTTGACATTTCTGCTTCTTAAAGATAAAAAATAACTATTTTAACTATTTTGTTTAAATACGAAAGAGGCTCTGCCCTCTGCTCGCCTTGCTCGCCTCTTGCTCACCTTGACAACCTCAATTCAGTATCTTCTTTTCGTAACGTGCACTCGTTATCTATTATCTGAAGCCTCAACTAAATGCTTCTAAAAATTCATCTCACCATTCAGAAAAGAATTCTTATACCGGAGTACGTGATAATTATTTGACGAAATTATTTCTCAAACTTTTTTATATACCTAATAGACAGACAATAATTAAACAAATAACAAATATTATGGTATTACAAGAAATATAGATTATATTATAATTTATACATCAATTATTGTGTATTAGGCAAGTATCTAGGTCCTTCAAGTTTTCAATTCAATAATAAATACAATATAACACTTAGAATGTAGTAGGTATAATTATAATAACGTTTGAAATATTAATCTTTTAATTTATGTTAGAGCATTAGAGGCTGAAGGTGACATAATATGATGTTATTGAATTTTATACGTTATGAATGTGACATAAATGAATAACATAAGCTCAGTCTCAGGTATTGTAATTTGCATTAGGTACTAATACCTACATCTAAATTGTAATATATCAATACGTATAATCGTATAGGTAACCTACTTACGGACTACAGTATTAAGTATTAATGGATAAGAGCGATATAGAGGTGATTTTATAATTCAGACTTATCACACTCACTACTCACATAATATCATAACTATAATGCATTTACGATTTCAGATTTGGTAAATTTTCGTACAAATACAGAATAAAATTAAAAATATAATATAAATATAAATATAACAATGTTGTCGGCCTTGTTCATGCAAAATAGAGGCAACAGGTGCGAGACCTGCGTATCGTGCATTAAAAAATCACATTAAACTCTATTTATTCTGTATAAAGTTTGGCAAGAAAACATTACGAAATCGGCGTCTATAACGTAATGTACTCATGATATGCAGTCGAGCCAAACTGCTATTAATATATTCATGTTTTATCATATCGCCCCGACCGAGAATATATTTTTTTGTTATTATTTTTGTTCGAAATTGTTTTTCGTCGGATATTAGGTACCAATTGTAGGGATGCTTAGTGCCTACCTATATACCTAACTATAGGCGCTTAGCGTGATGAATTTGTGTTGGGGAGCTTTAGACTATCATCTTACCCGAAAAAAAAAGTAACGGGATGCGGGGCTATGGCCCCCGCATACAACCCCCCTCATTCTACGAATATGTACAACATGATAGGTAGGGAATATAGTTTTTCATATTTCTAGAGTAGGTATATGTCGTCTTTGACGACTATGGGTACCTATACCATATAATAATATAATATAATGACGCGGGGCACCAAATAGGTATATATACATGACGGCGAGACCATTGCGCGCACACCTTTGGTCGATCCGGCCAGCCAGGAGCTGTAAAATAACGGCAGCGCCTACGTCTCTATACATAAATATGCATATATATGCGCGAGCATCAGGGCTCCGATCTATTTCGAGCGTAACCCCGCGCGACAGCTCTGTATTTCTGGCTGGCCGTCCTACAACTTTTACTGGCTGACAACTTAAAAATACACCGCGCGAACGCAATAACGCCAAAATTCGATTACACGAACGAGATAACAAAAGGGACACGAGGAAAATAAAAAAACGGCTCGCTCGTATGCAGCTGCAGCAG